TTTTATAGGCAGACGTTTTGTTCAATACAAAGTGAAGAAGATTGTCCCGTCACGGCTCTCTGAACAACGTTATCCGAAGGGGTCTTATCTCTATCAATGTTCCTTCGGTTTTAGAGCGTTGAGGAATATTTAGAGACAATAGTAGGAGACCTGTTGGTATGGTATGTATATTACCAAACTCATACCGAGTTTGGTACCTTGGGAGATAGGGCTAAGCCCTTGTGTCGCCTAGGACCCTATGGAACCCAATGGCACTTTGAAGCCTTATATCTCAGGGGTACCTCGTTTAAATCCGGGTGACATCAGAGGCAGCTGGACTGAGTAAATGACGCAAATATAAGTCTTTAGGAAATGACTAGGTATATATTGGCGTCATTTGCTGTAAGGACTATCAGCCCGTGGGGTTCACGCGGAGTAAAGTTTCTTATGGAAGAGGTAATTACCGCCGTTGACAGAAAACTGGTTATTTTTTATCATTCTCGGTCTCTCGGCAGCATTCAGCATTAGGACTGCACTGCATGGACTGTATAATAATTTTAATTTTTCATATAACCTTTATTTTTAAACGCAACTTCTAAAATAAATTAACATTGTTAAGAAATATCTTCACCGCGGTTCCAACTAGCGACATCTAGAGAGCGGAAAATTATTAGCCCTCGTTGCTCAATAAGCCTCCCATAAATGAGAGGAAAACTGTATCCAACAATGGGACATATAAAGGCTGTAACTATTAAATTAAATAAATTGTGTCTAACTTTGTTTAAAAAATTGAAATACGTAAGTAAATTAGCAATGAAATACGCAAAGATTTTCTATTCAGTTTGTAAAGGGCTAGAACTAAGTGACACATCAACATTCGTCGGAATAATAATAATAAATGAAATGTCAAGATGTCCGCCGTGTCCGACAAGACAGCCGGCCATTCCCCAATTTGTTGGCCGCCATTTACGGTTAGTCGCTTCTTTGGGTTTTACGCGCGATGTTGCCAGATAAAAGGGTCGTTTCGCCGCGTAAAGGGGAAACTGCTTGTAAGCCCCGACTTGATTAGGACGGGTAATGATGTTTCCTTTCAGGGATTAAATGGGTAAACTGATAGATGCTAAGGTTTTGTTTTTATTTTGTTTATTACAAAGGGCTGAGTTTATGGGATTAGGTGTGGTTTCATTTTATTTCTCACACTATGTAAGATGATAGGTATATATGTAACTATAGTCACTTCATACAATGACAGCTTCACGCCTATAATACCCGAGGGGTTAGACAGAGACCAAAATACAGCGAGCTACTCGGACCATGTTTAGCTATAAAAATATGAGTGTTCCGGTCTGATGGCATTCCATCTTAGTCCATAAAAGTGACAACGCATCTGTAGCTTTCTTCACTCTAAGCTGCTTGCAAGTATCTAGTAGGCGCTAATATCAACGTGGACTGTTGTCAATTCAATTTAAAAAAAAATTATTATCATTTTTTCAAGTCCTAAGCTAGACAAGACAAGACAAGAACCTACTCTTTTTAAAAGGCCGGCACCGCATCTGCAATTCCCCTTGTGTTGCAGTTGTTCATGGACGGCGGTAGTCACTTACCATCAGGTGAGCCGAATGCTCGTTTGCCCCCTCTCCTATGAAAAAAAAGACAGGATTTTTCATGAACGCACCATTATGACATCATCATCATTGTTACAGCCCTTCACAACTCCACTACTAAACATAGAATTAACGTGAATATACGTGGTAGAGCCATGCTGCAGCTATATCAGTAGTAAAGTTGTAGCACGAATGGGTTGGCTCGACCGGGGAAGGACCACGCTCTCAAAGAATACCAGCGTAGAATGGCAGCTTAACAATGCTGTGTTTCGTATGGTGAGTGTAGAGAACCGGTGACCCTTTTTACTGAAAAAGAGGCATTCCATCTTAGTCCTCACGGGTGACATCGCATCTGCATTTTGATTTGCAAACGAGGATAAATGTTGATGTCTATGGACCACAGCATCTACTTACCATCAGGTGGACTGTGTGCTCGTTTGTCACCCTATCCTATAAAAAAAATAGAACTCCTCCAGATGATACCACATGGTCCTTAGACACCTTTATCTGTATGTCTTCCCAGGTCCTAACTTCGTCTAGGGGGGGACGGCGATCCATTTCGCTTGTCCGGTAAGCTGCTCTCGAGAACCTTTCATCCCTATCGATTTTTACTTCTTCGAGCTATATGGCCAGCCCCTTGTCACTTCAGCTTACTGATACGTTGGGCTATGTCGGATACCCGGGTTCTAATAATAATTTCCTCCAGACCGCATTCCGTTGACGCCGGCCAGCCTCAACGGAGACTAGTCATCTTCACATGTCAGGATTACAGTGCCCAAGTGTATGCGCAAGCACAGGTGCATTCTCTATTCCCTCACTCTCGTAGATGGGATGGTAATTCGACACAACCGGAGAGAAATCGGGGGCAGGACCAACGGCTTTACATACTTTTCGAGGCACGGGGGTGAAAACACCACAAATTCCTGACTCCGAACTGCTATAGAGAATTATTTGATAGAGAAACCCAATAAGGCCGGAAGCAGACAACATTTTAAAAATGATGGTTTATCTGCCGACTTCCAAAAAGGAGACGGTACTCAATTCGACTGTATGTTTTTTTTTATGTGTGTTACCTCGTAACTTTGTACTGGGTAAACCGATTTCTAAATTTTACCCGATTAAAGCTGATAGTTCTCGTGTGGTCCCATATGAATTCGATCAATGTTAGACCAATGGTTATTGAGTTATTCTTAAATAACTTATATTGAAGTCGCTTATATTGAAGTCGGCAATACAATTTTTTTTATTTTAAATAATATCTTAATACCATGCTAATAACTCTCTTAACTTATTAGAAGACAGCTATTTCAATATTATAGACTGTTAAGTGCCTAGTTTTAATGACACAAAATCAAGTAAATTTGGCGGACTGTATTTAATCATTTTAAACTTATTGCAGACTCTACAGTTAATAATGTCGCACAATAGTTGCGGTTACAAGATAGCACGTTCAAGCAAGTACCTCCATCAAAGTAATGCAAAGAAACCGGCCAAGTGCAAGTCGGACTCACACATGCAGGGTTCCGTACCATCCCACACGTTTCTAGTCGGGAAGCCCCCTTTTTTTTGTATTTTTTATTATTTGTTGTTATAGCGGCAACAGAAATATACATTCTGTGAAAATTTCAACAGTCTACCTATTACGAATCATAAGATACAGCCCGATGACAGACAGAAGGATGGATGGACGGACGGATGGACAGCGGAGGCTTTGTAATAGGGTCCCGTTAGTTACCCTTCAGATATGAAATCCTAAAAAGGAAAGAAGTAGGTTAAAGAAATACGAATATTGCTACATAACAAAAAACATCGTTCTGTTTTATGTACGAGAATCGTACACAGACAGACGCTTCCATTATATTTATATGTATAGATAATAAATGAACAATTATCAGCTACAGACCGCCCAATGAGCATTAACTGCTTTGGGTTAAAGTTAGCGAAGTTTTCGAGTAATACAGCGGAGAGGCCACTTAAGTTAGCAAACCGCCGTCGATGGAATAATGCTTGGCTCAGATCGGAGCAGACCGCCGCGGTCGGCGCGGAGCTTAATCTAGCTGATCGATCGGACCCCGTTTAAAATAATCCGCAGCTAGTGATCGCATGCATTTATTATCTATAGCTTAAGAATATTTTAATTTTTTTTTTAACTTATTATAAGCCAGTGCTTGACCACAATCCAACCTGGTGGTAAGTGGTGATACAGCCTTAGATAGTACATAAATCGTAATTATATTACAATTCTTCAAATGTAGTACTTTTTAGGTTAATCACATTGAGTAAAACTAAAATTACGGATTATGGATGAAATTCGAAAAATATCGTTTTATTTAATACTAGCGACCCGCCCCGGCTTCGCCTGGGTGCCATCTCTTAATGTGGCGATATTTAGATTACCGTATAGTAGCGGGGTAAGAATATCCACTACCCCATATCGTCCCGGGGGTGTCGTAAGAGGCGACAGAGGGAAACAAACCAGGAGATGGGCAGCAGCGTATTCCTAATAACAACTTAAAATAAAAAACTGAGGTTGCCTACCCGCTTTCCAAGCGTGACAACTATGGCAAATATAACCCCCCCCCCCCCCCTATGAGGCAATCCATGGTCTATATTATTTATTCTGAACATTCTCTGCAAATTTGGCAGGTTATTGCAAAATAACCCTGTATATCGAGAATAAATTCGAGAGAGATAAACACTTGTAATAATTTCACAATATTTATTTTAAATTATTATTAGACTACTAACAAAAATTGCCCCGTTTTGCCTCACGGCATCATCAGGGTACATCAAATACGAGTACCTTAAAGATGCCGTGAGGCGAAACTGGTCGAGTTGTTTAATTAGTATAATAATAATTTATAATAAATATTGTGAAACTAATACGTGTTTATCCTAATTATAAAAATTAAGCTGGAGTTTTACCAAGTCTCCAATCGCAAGCGAAAATTATATATTATCAAATATATCATTCAATGAGAACAAGGACAGGATGGTAGACTCTTCGAGTTTTATATTCTCTTTCAATTATAATTGCTCGTGCTCAGGCCGAGCAAGTTCACAGCGTATTTATATTAAAATGCTGCCTACACCTATTTTGCAGCTGTATACGCGATCTGAGACGAAAGGGTCGGCTCGACCGGGGTAGGACCACGCTTTCACAGAATACCAGCCTAAAAGTGTAGAGAACCGAAGGCCCTTTTTACTGAAATCGAGGTATTCCATCTAAGTTCTTAATGTTGACAACGCATTTCATTTTGATTCTTAATCGAGGATAAATGTAGATGTCTATGGGCCACAGCATTCAGTTATCATCAGGTGGACTGTGTGCCCGTTTGTCCTTTCTTCTAGAAAAAAAAATACCACGACGTATTAATAACAATGATAAAATAAACAATAGAAAAATGAACTACTCACCTTGATAACATCGCATCATTTGAACCGAAATGGTTGGCGGCTAACGCTGCTTCGAGAACATTCGACTCTCTTCTAGGTTCTGTTCTGTTTAGAATTGAACTAATTGAGAAACTGGTGTACGGCGCGCTGCCTGTGGCCTTTTCTTCTTTGTCCTTCTTCAATTCATAGAACGGACTCTTCTGTTCCTTCCGCGTTGGTGACGATGTTATATCCGGACTGCTCGCTCCGGAGACCACGTTCACTTCGATATCATTATCTTGCGAGGAGACCGGTGAATCCATTTTGGTATTAGCTCTTCATTGTATGGTAATCTGCAAGGACAGACATTTTATATATTCGTAAAATTATCATTACTGCCTATCAAAAGTGCACAGATGAACATATAGCATAAACCTCTACCATAGACGCAGTTTTTATTTCTTGGAACGAAGTTCTTTATCGGACGGTACGGGTATGGCGAATGGGAGCTAGGCGACAAAAGTGTAAGATTTTTTCGTCACTTCCCCTTGTATCATAGTGTAGATGGCCTTAGCGGCGAAATAAGGAAGTGAGATGGAATAATATCCATCTCCCTCACACTTTTTCTTATCTTACCATGAAAGAAATATTATTTTATTTCAAATGACGCTTCATTTTAATAGACGCTAGTAATTCATTTATTTGTATCAATAATATAATACCTACATTTATCAATAATAATATACTACGCAAGGAACTTCGTTCCAACCGAGTGTTCCACGACACTCACGCATTTTTTAGTTGTATTAGAAAGACGCTGCTGCCCATTTTCGCATCTACCATGGGGAGTGCTCTGAGGAATTGTTCGGATTAATCCCAGCCGCCAAATTTCACGAACGCACATCGCGGCAGAACTCCCGATACCATCCACACCATCTGGATGATTGGCGGTCCACCACTGTGCGATTTAGAAGATGTTTTCTTCCTCGCACGACCTCCTTGTGGAATCGATTACCATCAGCGATTTTTCCGGACCGATACGACTTAGGGACCTTCAAGAAAAGAGCGTACTCCTTTTTAAAAGGCCGGCAACGCATCTGCGATTCCCCTGGTGTTGCAGTTGTTCATGGGCGGCGGTAGTCACTTACCATCAGGTGAGCCGCATGCTCGTTTGCCCCCTCTCCTATAAAAAAAAAATCTCTTGGTTTTATTCTTTCTGTCGCCTTTTACGACATCCATGGAGTGATATGTGGTAATGGATATTCTTACAACGCCACTGCACGGTTTTTTAGCATATTACTTCTGAAAAGATGGCGAAACAAAACGAAAAAAATGGCGGGAACCAAGCAGACCGCCCTCAAATCTACTTGTGTGAAAGCACCAAGAAAACAATTAGGAAGTAATGCTGATCGAAAAAGCGTTCCTGCAACTAATGGTGAGATAAAACCTTATCGCTACAGATCAGGCACCGTCATATTGATGAAATTGAATGAAATTAAATTAGATTAGTATAGAAAGAAAATAAATTATTTAAAGAAAAAAATATCTTCCTTGCTTTACTGTCCCGTAAGTCTACGTCTCGATATAGGTCTTTTACGGTATATGGAGGATCCGCCTTAATCTTAGAGATAAAGAGCTAAGAGCTCTTTTATAAAAGGCTGGCAATGCATCAACAATTTCCCTGGTGTTGCAGTTGTTGCATGGACGGCGATAGTCACTTAGTGAGCCGCATGCTCGTTTGTTCCCTCTTATATTTAAAAAAAAATCACCGCATTTGATCGACACGTTTGGCTCTGCTAACGTCCACCCCAGCCCGGCTAGCATGGGCGGGGGACAAAAATTTTATCCCCCGATTATATCCACTGACAAGAGATAAAATTATCTTGTAATGTAAAACGGGGAGAAGTATATCCCCGTTTGACATAACGAGTAGACATATATCCCCCGTCCGTAGCATGGAGCTAAATGAAAGATAAAAATTATGCTTTTTTAACATTTGAAAGGGACAATTTTATCCTAGTTCATTGGACGTGGGTTTAACTTTATATTCATACAAAAAAATCTATCTAGGTCTAAATCTATCTCCCAATTTATCTACTGTGGATATTATATCCACCGGTGTGCCCATGCTCTAAGGGTGGATAAAACTAAGCGAGGGGATAAACATTTTCTCCTTTCCCCGGGGATAAAATTGTCTCCTGCCCATGCTAGCCCTGCAGGTGGATTGATGACAGCAGAAATTGGAATGAAATATACTTTATTGTATACCTTTCAGGCAACCACATAGCAGAAGTTATAATGACCTGTGTGAAATGGTGACGCAAGTTATTTGAAAATATACAAAAATATAACATACATACAATTCGTCGTTGACGCCGCAAAGGAGCGAACCTCAATTTTTCAAAAAATACGCTAGAGCAAGAAAACATTTATTATTCCCCAATTACTAACTTTTTTTAAATCATAAAATTAAATATTTTAGACTTAATGGAAAACTACAAATAAGATCGATTTTCTGATGAAAAAAGCTAGTAATCGGGGAATAATAAATGTTTTCTTACTCTCCGGAATTTTTTTGAAAAATTGAGGTCCGCCGATTTGCGGCGTCAACTACAAACTATATATTCAGTAAATACATACATAATATAATAAATAAATACATTTCAACATCACAGTGTCAGACGTCTCGTAGTTTTGACGCTGCTGTCCATCGCTAGGAATTTTATATTATTTTTAAACTATATTCGCTTTAACTATCATGTTTTTTTTATAAAAGGGTTACAAACGAGCACACAGTCCACCTGATGGTAAGTGGATACTGTGGCCCATAGACATCTAAATTTATCCTCGATTAAGAATCAAAATGCAGATGCGTTATCACCCCTGAGGACCAAGATGGATTGCCTCATATCCAGTAAAAACCGTCTCAGTTTCTCTACACTCACAATACGCAACGTCTTTCAACAACGACGATAATTGACGCATGAAAATGAGACTCAGTCAAAATTAGGCTTGGGTAAAAAATGTCGATATATAGAAATATCGATATTTTCTCACAAAATTATCGATCTTTATCGTCGATATTTTTAATCGCGATATATCGATATTCAATATTTATTTTAGAGTACCGAATTCGTATCAATTTCGATATATTTTAAAATATATATATATTATTTTGTAATGTTTAATGTAGTGTTTGACAATATCACTTATCAGACAAAACAATTAAACAAAGTATTCATGTGCTGTAATAAAATGTTGGCCCCCATACATAATATAAAACCTGACGATATATCAATATTTATCCCGCGATTATTATCGACACACATACATACACATAATCACGCCTCTTTCCCGTAGGGGTGGGCAGAGACCACTTCTTTCCACTTGCTACGATACTCACATTTATTATTATCGATACTGTTTAAAAATATCGAAACGATAAATATCGATACTTTTTTTCACTTGCCCATCCCTAGTTAAAATACTGTTTTGATTTCCTTACTTTTCCATAAAAAAAAACTTTAAGAATCTCGCTTGATACGATTTATCAGAAACCTTAAATACTTCCCCAGCAGCTTGAGCATATAATTCCCATTACTTATTCACGGCGGAGAATAATAGAGGGGAGTGCGGAACCCTCTTAATATTGTTCTAATGCCCGCGGGACACCCCTAAATAAGGCTAAGAACAATAATGCACTTAAGGATGCTGAATTATAAATAACGTTAAACGTCTTAGGGCGTGGTTTTCTGAAAGGTTACCGCTACGAGTACAATACCATATTATAACGAGCGCTATAAACATGGCGGCTACAATAAAATTGACCTTCAAGTTTAGTACACTTTTTTGTAGGATAATGGTGACATACGAGCACACAGGCCACCTGATAGTAAGTGATTGATGTCGCCTATAGACCTACATCTATTCTCGATTACGAATTAAAATGCAGATGCGTTGTCATCCGTGAGGACTAAGATGGAATGCCTCGTTTTCAGAGAAAGGGTCTACGGTTCTCTCCACTCACCATACGAAACACAGCAGCGTTAGGCTGCTATTTTACGCTGGTATTCTGTGAGAACGTGGTCCTTCCCCGGTCGAGCCGATCCATTCGTGCTACAACTATACTACTAATATAGCTGCAGCACGGCTCTACCACTTCAAAACACTTGAAAAGAATAACTTTTGTGTTCTAATCTAGCGTTAAAAAAATTATGTTTAGTTTTTTAGAGTTATCTTGAAAATAATTTCAATAATATTGAAAATAACTTAAACGCATGTAGGTACCCAAATACAGACGTAAGATTCAAAATATCAATTTTGGAATAAAGGTGTTAATTTTTAGAAGTTGCATGAAAGAGCAACAGTGCAACTGTTTTATGACTGCCGGTCAAATGGATCGTCTCACTCTTTTAAACCGACTTCAAAAAAGGACGAGGTACTCAATTCAACTGTATTTTTTATGTGTGTTACCTCAGAACTTTTTTCTAGGTGAACCACTTTTGATGATTCGTTTATTATTTGAATGCTGGTGCTTCTCATGTGATCCTATATAAATTTGGTCAAGAGTTGACCAGGATATTTTGAGTTATCGTTACTAGTACATATTTAATTGACTTCGACTACATTGATGATGTTCTCATTTTATTTATAATGCAGTCGATTATACAACATTTTTACTTTTTTTTAAAAACAGAGGGGTTGAGTATTTCCTCACGTAACAAGTCTTGTAAAATTTCATCTCTTGTTATTATTTAATATCATGTAAATCCTAACAAAACCATACTAATTGGAGGACTCCTTTTGTGCCTAGCAGTGCATCTGTGTAGATGCCACCCTCTTACCTACATCAAGCAGCAGTGCGTTACGGTCTGAAGATAAAGAAATCCAGTATGAGTTCAGGCTGTAAGGCATTCCATCTTATCCCTCGAAGGTATTAATGTATCGAGTTGGTTGCGGGTGTTCATGAACTGCAGTAACGGCTTAGTATAAGCTGGATGGAAAGTTCCTTTGTCACTTTAATAAAAAAAAAGAATCAATGGGCATTCGTTTTGTCATTCCCGCTTTCATGACTCCAATTACTGCTTTTGAATGGATTTAATACATAAATTGACTGAAAAAGGCAGTTTCGATTGCAGCGTTGGTTATCCGCCCGCCGGCAAATGTACGGCTTCCAATTAACAATAATTTTGACACGAAATACGGCGGGAAATGATCATCGTGTCAGTCATTAACAGAGTAAAAATCTTTTTTTGTTTCAAGTTTTATTTCGTAATTTGTGTGTATTTTCTACCGACTTCAAAAAGGAGTAGGTACTCAATTT